CACCCCCCCCCCCCCCCGACAGAACAAAAAAGAAATCCCTATATGGGATGTATTTGTTACAGTTTTTGTGTTTTTCCAGTGTTTAAAACATGCGAAAAAAAAGGTATTTCAGTGTATGACCATGAGTAAAGAAACAGGAAACAAACTGCTTCGTCTTATTTATTTCTGTGCTTCGCTCTACTGGATTTAAATGGACTAAGGTCACGCTATTTCAGGCAAATTCGGCAAATATCTGAATTTATGAAAATATAAAAGCCTGTTCAAACCCCGGGGGTACTTCCTATGATGGCCTATACGGGGAAGCTCCGCCCAAAAGGGGTACCTTTCGCAGGCTCTAGGTGCTGTACATGAAAGGGTAGGGATTTGACCAGTTGAGGTATATAAAAAGGGTAGGGAAATCTGTCATTTGGGTCTGTAAAAGGGTCCAAAAGAGCTGACAGATGAATTGTACGGCTTTAAAAAGTCGAGAAAACGTTCTATTTTTGCGATTTTTTAAAAGACAGTGCATTTACAGAAGTTAAAAGGGATGCAAAGTTCTAAAGAAGGTATGTGAAAGGGGTACCATTTGTCGCTAGAAGATATGCGAAAGGGGTACCTTTTCTGCCAGAAATGGTATATAAAAGGTTAAGGGGTTGGACCTCGGGTCGGAGCCTCCCCATATAAACATTTGTTGAATATCTTCGCTTAGCTGGATTCAAACAAAAAAACAGAAATTCGGAAGGCCAAAAAGGAGCAGCAGTCAGCGAAACTGAAGATGATCAAACCGGATGATTGCACTCAAGTTATCTCTAAACTTATGAAAATGTGTTTTTTTGTCAATAAACCCATTTTTTTTTTAGAAACCATGAAAAATGTTTCACTGCCTTTTGGAACTTTTACTTTACTGTTCACGAAGTTCAAACGGTTCTCATTCATCTCCTCAAATTACGTCAAAATAATTTTTAGTTAGCCGTAACAGATAGTTTTTAAGTTAGCCTTCACAGATGCATGCAGCGTTTTTGCTGGAAAGAGGTGTTGGCACTCTGATAAAACTACAATTAAACCTCTCTACAACGGCCACTTTAGGGACAGAGGAAAGTGGCCATTGTGGAGAGGTTTTAAACAAGAGTCAATGTATGGATTTTTTTGTCCACCGGAACAAAAAAATGAGTGACCGTTGTAGAGAGCTGGTGGTTAGCGGAGGTTGGACTTTATTTATTCTTTGTTTCATTGATTGTTTGGTTTATACTTAGGTGAGTGTCCTATTAACTCTCATACTTGTGACGTCAATGCTCTTTGTCAAAATACTGCGGGCTCACACACCTGCTTGTGTAAACTTGGATATACGGGGGATGGAACAACATGTTATGGTAAAGCAATACTAGTAGCACAGGTAGTACTGAGTTGATTTAAGCGTTAGGGTAGTTAGCTTTTAAAAAGCTATTCGGGGATACCAGTAAACTACAAAAGAATGAAACATGATATTTGATTGGGTTGCCTGCGACACAGCCCAATCGAAAAATGGGCTTTCTCCTTTGGAAAAAGCGCCGGGGTAAGAGGGTGTGTGGTGGAGCGAGGGGAGGGAGGGGGTTTGGTTAGTTGACATTTTAGCTAAAAACATATGCCACAGAGACTTAGGGTGACAACAACATTCTCGCGCGTAGTTATCACGGTTACCGTATTTACTAGTTTTCAATTGAAAACACCGCTCTGGAATAACGTCAGCTTTAACCAGGAGCCAATTACTAAGATAACATGCGGGCGCCGTTTTTGCTGAAGAGGTGATGAAATGTGATAAAACTATTCAGCATTCTTTGTTTCATCTGATTGTCTGGTTCTAGACTTAGATGAGTGTACTTCTAACTCTCATACCTGTGACGTCAACGCTGTTTGTTATAATACCGCGGGCTCACACAAATGTTCATGTAAAGCTGGATATTCAGGGGACGGAAAAACATGTCATGGTAAGGAAATAATGAAAAATGCCGGTTAAAATCAGTAGAGAAGTATTAGAAGTAGTACTAGACTTGATCTAAGCATCAATGTATTTAGCTTTTGAAAAATTAACTGGGACACTAGTAAACCACAAAAGAACAACATTTTAATACTGGGTGGCAGTGAGGCACAGCCCAATCAAGAAAGGTCTCTCCCTCGCAAAAAGCGGGGGTGATTTATTCAGCTGAAAACGTACGGCAAACAGACTTGGAATGATGTTTTGCGTGAAGGTGTTCAACCTATAATCAAGCCGTCAAACTAGGAAAAAGTCTATCATGTAGTAAAGTTATAGAAACTTCTTGTCTAAAGATGTTCTTTCACTTAAAGAGTTTGAATTATTAATGACCTTAGAAAACAGCAGCCGCGGAGCTTTATTCGTTTTCTGACTATCTCACAGACACACCTTAAAGATATCACTCTTAACTCTACGATAAGAAAAAAATGCAATTAATTTAGCGCCAGATGGAAGTTGTACCTATCAAAACTGACAGGGTTAAACCTAGGTGCATACTGATTTCAAATTTGTTGTCTTTTGTCCTGTGGGTAGGGGCGGAAAGAAAACCAAGGGGTGGAGGGCGAGGATGGTAACTGACACAGTGAGTTAATTCACAGGGATTTCCTGTCTAGAGCCACTCTTTCACGAATAAAACCACGCAACAACGAAAAAAAAACTGAGTTCACTTAAAACTTAGTCAAAAACTAATGAAAGAGTCGACTTTGGCTCTGCCAGGGAAACTTAATTCTTTTATGTTAAAAGATATACCCTAACATGTGTTTTTGCACAATTTTAGATATAGACGAGTGTTCTAACAACGCTCACTGCTGTGATGTGAACGCTGTGTGTACAAATGCCCAAGGATCGTATTCTTGTGCATGCAAAGCTAAATATACAGGAAATGGTACAAAATGTGTACTTGCCGGTAAGAAAAAAACATTCCCTGTAAAAATATTTTTAAAACATGCTACTTTTCCCCTTTAGCTTAAAATTTAATGTCTTGCTGCCCATTCAGTAAAACAAAAACCCATTCCGCCCAGGCCTTCGGTATGCTAGTACTGATCATATAGCACGCACACACTTGCTTAAAAAAGCAGGGACCACTATGGGGCGGGGTGGGCTATAGTTACCGTAAAATTCCGAAAATAAGCCCCTCCATGCATAAGCTCCCCAAACTTGTAACGCAAAAAACCCTTCGTCAAAATCGCCCCTCCAAATATAAGCTCCCCGGGGGCTTGTACTTGGAAATTCCCCTCATATATTACAAAGTAAGACAAAGCAAAAACGGTAAATTTCCTTCCAACTATAAGGCTAGCCGAATCGATTTTGAAACGCAAATTTCCCTCCATAGAAAAGCCCCTCCAAAAATAAGCCTCTCAAAAAGGGCCTTTGAAAAATGTAAGCCTCGGGTATGGCCTTTCATAAATAAAGGTTACTTTGGGCATTGGAAATTGAGCACTTGGAATTGTTTGGAGGTCACCGCAAGAAAATCATTTCAGCTAGTTCCATACGCTTAAATTCCTAATGCCCAATTGTCAATGACACATTGCCAATGTTGCGTTTATTGAATTAGGTATATGCGTTTTTTACAATAACTGAGCGGATTCTCGTGCGCTGATTGGTTGAGAGCTATGTTCGATAAGAGAACAAACCTTGAAAATGATGTGATGGTGGCGCCGTTTGTTTTCTATTTCCTCCACGCGCAATTTTCGAGAAACTTCAACGGAAATGGACGTCAAAACTTTGGAGTGAGACCACTCGGCCGCGGCTTGTGGTTCCACTTGAACGTTTTGACGTCATTTCTATGGTCGATAAAAGTATAGACCAATAAAAATTGTTGTCGATTTGCTATGTTGCTTTTAAGAGACCCTCTTTATTGATTAGTCATTAAAAGTCAGATAAGTTATTATTATTATTATTATTATTATTATTAAGTTATTATTATTAATTACTTTCAAAACTATTCAGTAACATTCCGAGTTGTCTTCACAAACCTCGGCGCGAGTGGGAGACTTCACCCAACTTCTCTTGGTAGTTACTACAGGGGACAGGATCATGACGGTCAAGTTACGTTGCACAGCGGTATTCAACGTTGGACCGTGCCGTACACAGGCGACTACAGAATAGAGGCAATAGGAGCAGCTGGGGGGTACGACAAGAGCAGTAACGGGGGCATATTTCGTGGAAGAGGTGCTAGAATGGAGGGGACTTTTAACTTATCTCAAGGCGAAACAATTCAAATACTCGTGGGTCAAGAGGGTGGAATTAACAATGTAACTAATTCTGCTGGAGGCGGTGGAGGTACGTTTGTGGCGAATGGAAGCAACACGCCATTGATAGTGGCTGGTGGAGGAGGAGGCGTGAATTATTCCAACACAAGATATACTGGATGTGATGCAACGACGGCGACAACAGGGAGAACTGGGCACCTGTCATTGGCGGGAGGCAGTGGTGGTCAGGGAGCACAGGTCGGCCAGAGTACAAATTTAGGTGAGAGAATTAAAGTGTATAAGAGTGAAGATGGTACAGACCCCAGTAATTATCAGCCTATAAAAACTCTCTCAGCATTCAGTAATTAAAGTATTGAGCGGCTAGTCTACAATCAGATATATTTCTTGTTAGAAAAGCACTAATCTTATGACCATCAGTTTCGATTTTATTTATTTATTTATTTTGAACAATATTTATTCAGGGGTGCCCAGTTCAGTGAGGCTGGTTTGAATGGGGCCCTGATGAAAACTAAAAGAAAACACAAAAAACAATAACAGATAAAAAAATTGGAACAACTAAGTATAGCGAAAGTATTGGAGGCTCAATTTGGCTTGGATCTTAAGCGCCTTTTTAGCCCAAACCCAAACTTATTTAAATCATGCTCGCCCCTCAGGGTCAGAGGAAGCGTGTTCCAGATCTTGGCTCCGCTGAACCTGAAGGAGCCCTGGTACTCATAGTTGTCCAAGCTAGCGGCAGACGGAGCAAATCTCTATGGCGCGTGTTATATGAATGGAAATCACGTGCGTCGCTAAATAGCTGGAGCCAGGCCATGAAGGTTCTCGATTCAGGAGGATACTCCACTAAAGAGGCAATTCTTAAAAAAAACTGACACTTTTGAAGTTAGCCCGATAAAGGTCAATCACACCTGGTTTATTTCTTGTCTTATCAACGCCTTTTGACACAGTAAATCACATCTCACTCTCTAAACTCTTTTCTATATTTTTGGATTGTTTTAAAAGTTATTTAAGGCCATGAACTTGAGTAAACCATTCAGCTCGCCGAATTTTCTTCAACTGGACTTTTTTTAGTCCGTGATATTAACGTTTCGGAAAAATTTCATCCTGTTCTAGGCATCGCAGCAAAAAATATTGCCAATCAATCCTTAACCCGCGAAACAGCCGTCTCTCCTCGCTCCTCGCGTCCCCAGCGGCAAGAAGTTCGCCACCCCTTTTTGAATTTTTTTCTGGTAAAGGACACTTACAGTACAGTGAATAGTGCTCTCCGTCTTTTAAACTACTGAGAATCGGAAAGAAAAGGGAATTTGTAAACCTTCTATATTTCTTTATTTTAGGCGGTGGCGGTGGTGGGTTCTACTCCAGTGGACGAAGTTCAACGCACTTTGGAGGTTCCATGGGGACTGGTGGAGAAGGAGGTGGAGGGTTTATTCAGGGAGGAATTGGTGGAAGATCTTGGTTAAAAAATGTTGTTGGGGGATTTGGAGGAGGTGGTGGTGCTTATGGAAGCGGAGGAGGTGGTGGTGGTGGTGGAGGCTACTCTGGGGGTGGTAGCGGGAAAGGTTTACAGGAAGCCTGTGGAGGAGGGGGAGGATCCTACAACGCTGGAAAGAATCAGCAAAATGAATGTTGTTTCAATGCAGCTGGACATGGTCAGGTGACCATAACACTAATTTAACTCAACAAGTACAGCGTGTCTTAATTTTAGTCCCTAAACAATCGTAGTATACCGGTATGAGACAGTAGCTACAGGTTGCTAAATTTAATGAATGTGTTCTCACCGAATGATGACTTTCAAACGACATCCCTACAAAAGACTCTACAAAATGAATTTGCACACCCTATTCAAAACCCAAGTCAAGACCCCCCAAACAATACCCTGTTTAGTGGCACATGTCCGTTTCCGCTAAATACCCCTTTAAGCCCCAAGATCCACATACAAATTCTCCAGACTGATCTCCATACATTTCTTTTAAGAATAGTTGAGAGAATTTGGTTTAAGATCAAAGTGTTCTTCCTTTGGTAATCAATTTAGTAAATCTCATAAGCTTCACTCTTGATGATCTGCTGATTTTGTTAGGAGAAAATTGATGTTGGTCACCCTTGGGACCAAAAGGGATAAGGAAGTGGAACTGATACCAAAACAATGAGTTTGAACAACTAGATCGCCCGTTTGTGATAAAGCTGTTAATTTTAAAACGCGACGTGGCGCTGGACTTAGAAACTATTACCCAGTAAAAAAGCCGCAATTCAACGGGGACATTGCATCGAACGTTATAAAACAACTAAGCCGATACTACGCGCTCGCTGATTGGCTGAGGGGTAAGCATGAGAGTATGTAAGCACGATCATTTTGTGTTCAGAAGTCGTTTCGTCACGTTGCCATGGTAGCAAAATGTCTGGATCTCAACAAACCATGGTCCTTCAAGTATGGCAAAAAAAAAGACGAAAAAATTGAACATGATTTTCCTGTGTATGATTATACTCAGGACCAAAACGGTAGCCCATACTTTTTTTCCATGTTTCAACAACGCAAATGGCCGTCTCTATTAAGAGAGATTGTTAAGATCAACAAATTTTGTTACCATGGTAACCTTAGTCGCACTTCTCTTCTTTAAACCGGTATGCAATTGGTTGAATATTTATCACCTAAGATGTCTTGTAATGACTGGATGTAGTTAAACCAAATGCCCCTGTGTGGGATATGGTATAGGCGTTGAAAGGAGGGGAGGTAAGAAGGGAGGGGTAGAGACTATACACCCTTCCACGTCTTTTTTGCCAAGGTTTGTTAAAGAACAGTTAGCGAATATCAATTAACACTGCTGGAAAAAGCGCCTTAAAATTAGCAACCTTGCCAATTTTCTAGGTTATTCGTCAAAAGCGAGATTATGCTGCAAAAAATCCCGAAAATTTAAGGAAATTTGTATGTTGTAAGCTGGGGGCACGAACTTGTTCCCCACCAAACAAACGTCTGTAAAATTCGGCAACTTTGCGGAGCTGTATCTTTGTTAGCTTTAAATAAATCACGTTCTAATTTGTCATCTTTACTACTGTTGAGTTAGGGAATGTTTACATGGAGGTGGGGGACCCTAGGTAGGTGAGGTAACCCGTCTGTCACATAATCTCTCATTTTAATTTAATCACGTTTACATGATAGGTGGGGTGACCCGCCGCATGTTACTTCACCTATCTGGGGTCCCCCAGCTCTATGTAAACAGGCTCTTAGTTTCCAGCCGGCCGTGCTGATGGAATTTTGATACCTGATCCCAGCCAAAAGGTGGTGGTAGGGATTCAGTTGTGGAGAGAGAAAAAAGTTTCAGCGTGACCAGCGCCAGCCTTTCGCCCCGTTGTCCCACCAGCCTTTCCGAATAGACCTTTTAAGCTTGAATTTTTTGTTTTCGCATTTCAGACCATATGTGATGTTATCCCAGAGAACCGTTTCTTTCAAATGTCGTCCCTGTACGTGCATCCACGAGCATATGTATGCATAACTTATGAAAAGACGAAAGGTAAATTCCCTGGAGAACATCAAGTGGTCTGAATTGGGGAAACAAAACGTACAATCTTTAAAAGTCTATTATTTTAAACCATTAATAATTCATAAAGAAAAAAAAACAAAAGTTTAATGAGTAGCTTTATGTCTGAAAAGGACACGGCTAAACTTTAGGTCCAATTTTTTAGACCAAAATAACCCCAAATCTAAAAATTAGTGCATGAATGAGTTGATCTATATCAGAGAAGAGTTTTTAAACCTGATAATACACTCATGCTCGTTTTTTAAAAGTACTTAATTCCTTTTTAATTATATTCGCCATTAAATATATACCTCTTTATATTCAACTAGGTGATGTGATGTGATCAGGGGAAGAAATAATTTATTTTCTGCATTTTTCATTGCTGATTCGAAGAAAACTAAACAAACAATTATAGACCAAATACGGTAACTTTAATCCGTAACCAATTATCAGGCTCTGATTTCGTTTCTCTTGATAAACAAATTTGCTACCACCCGGAGAATGTATGAGCTGCTGAAATTGGCTTGTCCCTCGTGTGATTATCATTGGCTCCCGGGGGGGGGGGGGGGGG